CTCTCCATGCATGGAACAATGCTCAACCAACTAAGCCACACCAACCGGGGCAAAACTAAGTATCTTGGTGTGTTCCCGTGGTCCTAACTTCTTTCCTAAGTCTTTCCTACAAAAGCAATATCACAGATTGCTTTTAAGGTTAAATGAGAAAAATGCATGTTTAGAGGACTGTAATTGTGAATATGATGATGCTGAAAAGGATTCAAACTCCTCCAACTGATCAGTCACAAAGGCCTGTCCATTTTGCTTCCTAGATGTCTCTCAAATCCTCCTCACTCCATCACCATTCCCCTAGTTCAGGCTGGGATGTTGCATCATCCTCTAGACTTTATGTACCTCATTGTTAATTAACAACTTTCTAAAAGAATGTAAATCCTGGCCCAGCATGACATAGAGAATGCAGGCCTCCTCTTGTCTAATAAATCCATATGTGTGTCCCATCACCCCAGTTAGACTCAAATTCCCGAAGGCAGAAACGGAGTTTGACACAGCCTGGGATGACCTCGCCCACCTGCCTGGTGTAGTCACGCCATAGCATCGGTGATGAAAATGCATGTTTGCATGTTCTCCCATGGCTGGGCCTTCCTGTCATTCAGGTCCTGGCCCATGGATCACTCCCTTAGCCAGGCCACACCTGAACACCCAGTCCAAATGGCCCCTCATTATATCATCTGATTCTCACATATGCCCTGGGCTGGAGAAGGGACAGTTGTCAGGTATGTAATTACCTAAAAATAAAGATCTTGAATGCATGTTGTTTGCGCAGTCCTCCTTGTAGGATTGTCCCTCCTGCTTTGTGAAGTGCCTGTGGGGCATTTGGCAACTCCATGGCAACCAAGTCTTTCAGAGACCTGGGATAATCACTAGAACACTGAAAGGGTGCTCTGTCAGCTCTTGTCACCCCCAAGCAAGGTTTGCATACCCCTAGTTCTGATTTCTCTTTTGAGGAGTGAACCCTGGTCATTCAGAGTCCAGAGCCGAACCCTAAGGAGACAGAATGTCGCCCCTTTAGTTCTTGCCATTGCTTGTATGGCCGTACAGTCAGAGGCACTCCTTAATTCTGTTAGGATCTTGCAACGATCTCTGTTGGTGGTGGCATTTTTTTTGTTTGTTTCAAAGAAAAGGAGAACTGAGGAGTTAAGAAGGTAGAAATCATATGTGGAAAACATTTTTCCCCTGCTAAAATATGCATGGGGCAGGGACAAGAAATATTTGAGCAAACATGGCATTTTGAAAGGCTAATTGCATGTGAATGAACATATTGAGATGATGTTCTGTTATTGTCAGAAATAATGTTTTGCAGAGAAGCTATTGGTGAAGAGTGACCAGTTATTGTTGATGGACTAACTGCTTCCAAGAATATGGCAGTGATAGTGCAGACCTGGAGTGCCTGCAGAACGATGTCAGTCAATGTGAACTTGGAGGGGAAGAATGAACACCTCCTGACTTGACTCTGCCTATATGATTTGACCTGCAGGACCCACATGCACAGACCCAGGCTTGTTTAACAAGATCAGAAGTGGACTTTTTTTTTTTATATATTTTTTTTGTTGGTGGTCCACATGTCCCGGGAGCGCCCAATGAGCAGCACCGTCACC